TTTTGGTACGCTGCCCACCTTCGACCCAAGATGTGTAAGTAGACCAAGTTTGGTAGCGCTAGGTCAATTAGGGGCCGAGTTACAGAGCGGAAGGGAAATATGATCAAGGTCAAGGTAAAGGTCAAATAAAGGTCGCAGTGACCTGGTTTTGGTACGCTGCCCACCTTCTCCCCAAGATGTGTATAAGTAGACCAAGTTTGGTAGCGCTAGGTCAATTAGTGGCCGAGTTACAGAGCAGAAGAGAAATATGATCAAGGTCAAGGTAAAGGTCAAATAAAGGTACGCTGCCCACCTTCTCCCCAAGATGTGTAAGTAGACCAAGTTTGGTAGCACTAGGTCAATTAGAGGTCGAGTTATAGAGCGGAAGGGAAAATCTCTGCGGCAGACCGAGCGGCGGCGGCGGCGGCTGTACAGACATGAAACCATAGTAATCCCGCCGACTTCGTCGCAGGGGATACAATACAGATGATAAATGGACAGATTATATACTGTGCTTCTATGTATTACTACATGAAATAAAAGATAAGCAATGCAGAAAGGCATTGGGAAAATGAAAACAAAACAGAAAACGAGTTATAGTGATCGCCTTACCTGCATTAGATTATTAGACTGAGATGCCACGTACACATTCATCTCTTGTTTCTCCCCCGGCACGCAGACACATGATTGAGGCTCCAGGTAAAAATGCTGCTGCCCACCCATCTTGAATGTTCCCTCCAACACGACATCTGCGGCTTTAAACCCGGCAGCGACATCGCCATGTGTCTTGACTCGCTTCAAGGTATGGAAGAAGGAATTGGTTGAAACTGCATCCTGTAAAAGCGCAGCATCAGGAGTGAATAAAATGAAAGTGTCAATGACACTATAGTTCACCTTGGGTACGTGTGATAGAAGAGGGAGATGATATATAAAATTTGGTAAGTGTTTCATTTATGACAAACCAAAATGTGATCAAATGTCCTTATTCCCTGTTTTATACAAATAGAAATTTCACTGTTTTCTTTCAGGGTTAGTTTTGATGTGAAAATAAATGTTTCAGATCTGAAAGTCTGAAATCTGGGCGGAGATGGCACTACGCCAAAATTATTGCCATTTTGGTTTCCGATTATCGCGCAAATAAAAGCAATAAACTATTCCAGTCAAATTACTGTAACAAAAAATCTAAAACACAATATTACACGTAGGTATGATTAGGTAGGTAGGTAGGTAGGTAAATTTAACAAAATCGAATGAATCTAGATGGCCATTTCCATTTCCAATGCAAGGCAGGCAGGCAAATCTCAAATGTTTGCATTTCAAAAGTTTCTTCAACGTGCCTAGGGTTGGGATCACCTACCTATCTGTTATTATCTGCATATCTCTTCTTCATTGTAGACATGTACAATCATTACAGATGAATCTTAAAGCTTGAGCTACTGCAACTCTTACACAGAAGGTCACCCTTACCTCAATAGTAAGCACGCAGGAAGTCTTCATATTGCACCACGACACTTGCTGCTGCCTTTCGTGCCAACTCTCGATTCTTAGCCACAACACAGCCAATAATATGCCCGTGACTTTCCACCTAAAATTTATCAGATAAAATTAAGAATCTATATGGCATACTATCGATGACACAGATTACAAGGCAATAAACAATCAACAGGTGAAGAATACACTGTTGCAAAGCTATTATACAAACTAGAAAGGGCAGTTGTCACTAACTACATGTATCCCCCGTGATCTTAGTGATGAAATCTCTCTGTAGGACGTAGAAGGTAGGTAAAGTTAAATAAGTCACAAAGAGCAAAGGTTTGTTACACAAACTCATCTGCCTGAGATGTGGCAAGAATGTTCAAATTGTTGCCTTAGGGTTTTTGGTACGCGACGCAACCTTCTCCCAAGATGTGTAAGTATACCAAAGTTTGGTCGGCGCTAGGTCAATTAGGGGCGAGTCATAGAGCGGAAGGGATAATACGATCAAGGTCCAAGTCAATGTCAATAAAAAGCCGCAGTGACGTGGTTTTGGTATGCGACACACATTCTCCCCAAGATGTGTAAGTATACCAAATTTGGTCGCGCTAGGTCAATTGGGGGCCGAGTTATAGACGAGAAGTGAAATATAATCAAGGTCAAGGTAAAGGTCAAATAAAGGTCGCAGTGACCTAGTTTTGGTACGCTGCCCACCTTCTCCCCAAGATGTGTAAGTAGACCATGTTTGGTCACGCTAGGTCAATTAGGGGTCGAGTTATAGAGCGGAAGGGAAAGTGTCTGCGGCAGCGGCTGGACAGACATGAAACCATAATATCCCCGCCGACTTCGTCGCGGGGGATACAATAAATACCTCGTCAATAGCGAAGATTGGTTCATCATCAGCGATTGGTCCAAAATACTTTTTACCGGGGATATCATGGTGATCAAAGTAACACACCACGCCAGAGGTGGCAAGGGCAGTTTGAGGGTCCACAGACACAATCCTTGCATGGGCTCTAGTGCTGGTTACCAGCCCCGCAAACAGTTCTCCTGGAATAGAGAATGACCAAGTTAAACCAATACTGAAAACCTACACCAGGCCGTAACACAAGCGTGAATAGTTTTTGCAGTTCTGCAGATGTGGATCTCATGTCAATATAGTTATAGATATATGCCTCTGGCAACCTGGCATTTGTCTCAGTATGACATTTGCACACAAATACGAATTTAGGATTAGCAAGTACCAATTTTGCTCTAATAAATATTTCCTTATGTTGCCGCTACAAATTCAAAACACCCTCAACAATTTATGTGAAACCCTTCACAAGGAATAAATCTAAGAGGCTAATGCGTAATATGAATTTGTACCTCGTAGAGGGGGAAGATCATCACAGAAGAGTGCCTCTCCTGTTGCTTGCTCTAGTGCTGACACATGAACCAAGGGTCTACCTATAGGATCATCAGCAGGCTGGTTGCTGTCTACAATCTGTATGATAGTAAAGAAAGCAAATGCTAATTACAATGCAAGTGCTTCATTATTCCTAAATTATTCATAAACATTTATCAATGAAACCTTCCATATTAAACTATTCTTGTACACACCTCGTACACTTGTGAGCTTTTTGGTAAGCCTCTCTCCATTTCCCCTGTAGACAGGTCAATCTTGATTGGTGATTGTAACTGTCAGTAAATAGAGAGAATTTAATAGTAAAATGATTGCATATAATGAATAAAATATTAATGTAATACATGAGGTATTAACCTGTGTTCTATTCCAGGAACCAATCAGCAATAATGCTTGTAATGGACGCTATAGCTGTTCGATGACATCACCATGTTTAATATTCATAAATCCATGCTATAACACAGAATTATATAGCAACTTGCAGCTCATAAACTCTGTAACACATACGATGATCAGTTTCAATATCTCGATCATATGACAGCCAGGGCACCTGTGTGTCAGATATATGATGAATGCTCACCACTGATGCCTGCATTTCACCACAAACTTTCATGTAGAACTTGAAGAATAGGCCTGTGATGAGTCTCTGCTTGTACTCCAG